TCTATTTAATTAAAGAGAGATTAAAAAAAATATATAACTATAAATAAATATATAAAATCTAAGAAAATATTAGTTTATATTAAAGTTAAGTTATAAAATAGCTTATATATTTAAATAAAATATATTAATAATATTAAAGAATTATAAGATATTTTATAAGAATTATATAATATATTAGTTAGATTTAACTAGTCTAGTATATCTTATTTACTAGCCTAGATAAAAAGGCTAAGTCCTTTATAGTATTTAAAAATAACTTTTTTTACCTTTTCTATATTTAATTTCTATTATTCTCCTTATAATTAGGAGCCTAGCTATACTACTTATATCTCTAATAATATTATAATCTAATATAATTCCTTAAGTCTTTATATAATAATAATATTATAATATACTTTTAATATAAGTAATTCCCTTTTATATTAAGGTCCTAATTAGTAGTTAATATTCTTATAATATATATATATACTTTTAGAGAGATAATATCTTTAAACTAATATTATATATAGCTTAATAGTTTTATATATATAGTATTTACTATTATAGGCTTTTATAGTTTTTTTTAAAATATTATAATAATACTTTTAGATTTACTAGTAATTTTATATTAGTTAAAAGTTTATTTAACTTGACTTATAGAAAATTAAAAAGAAGTACTTTTAGTAAGATTTATATCTATAATCTATAGACTAACTTATATAGAACTCCTTAATATAAAACTATTATATTATAGAGGTATAGATTAGTATTTTTTTATAAAAAATTAGGAATTATTAAGAAATATTAGGAATTATAATATAATAATAGATAGTATATAAAAAAGTAGGTTTTTACTAAGATAAGGTTTCTACTTAATATAATAAGGTTTCTATATAATATAATAAGATATTAATATAGCTTAGTTATAGTTTTTTTATAATTATAAAGATAAAAGTACTAGTAAACTATAAACTTAACTAAGATAATTTATTTAATTTAATATAAAATATAGTTTTTTATAGTAAATTAATATTTTATTAAAAAGAAGTTATTAATTATTAATAAATACTAGAAATAAAAATATAATATTAGATTATATAGAAGATTATAGGTTTCTATCTAGACTAAGGCTATAGTTAATATAGTAAGATACTAATATATATTTCTAATTATAGTTTTTCCTAATATTATAAATTATAGAAGTTCTAGATAAGCTATAAGCTTAATTAGTGTAATTTAATAATAATCATAGTATTACTAGATAGTAAGGAGATATTATAAACGGGAGACGCTGTTGGAGCTATGTTAGAAAATCCCCCCCTCCCGCGTAGGTAGTTAACAGGTCTCTGGAACTAAATAATGTTAGCGGCGTTGTTCTTGTGTATATTGTCACCCACTTGCCCCGCCAAGATCAAGCCATTTGTGCCCCATCTAGCGACAGCTGTTCATGACGGGCCTCATCTGATTGAGACCCGTAGCTTAGTCTTTTCCTCTCGCCAACTCTCACGAGCATATTCTCTTGTCTTTACATACTGATGACGGACGAAAAGGGTCTGTCTCAGAATCCCGCTCAAGACGGCCGCTCACAAGTTTATTTCCTCACAGAGCAGAGCCTACACCACCGCAACGTTCTTGTCAAGAGGTATTCGTCTGACCTAGGCGACACCAGCGAGACCCGGGAAAGGAGGGCATATATACGCGACTTTTCCATGCACAGATGCATGGATATCAGCATACAAGATGTTTGGCCTAATACGACGGTTCTCTAGTGAAGACGCCGACGTCAACCAGAGCCAAGACGACCGCGGCCAGCGCGAGCACAAGGATGGCGTCCGCGACGTCTTCAACCCGCCACGGCACACGGCCAGTCCGTTCCGCCCCCCGCCGCTCGACCCCATCGTCCTACACGGCTACAAGGACGGCACGCCCGCCTCGTCGCGGCTGCTAAGTCACTCCGTCGCCGAGGAGATTCGTAACTTGGTGCCCGAGCGGCTGCGCATCGTCGAGGACTGGAGTCTCGTCTACAGTCTGGAGCAGGACGGGTCCAGCCTGAGCACGCTGTATCAGAAATGCAGAGCCTATGAAGGGAGGCGCGTGGGGTTTGTGCTGGTCGTGCAGGACCAAGAAGGCGGGGTAGGTTTTTCCTTTCTTTTTTCCGCGACTCTGACTGGAGATCGAAGAGACGAGGGGCTGACAGAAATTGTATCAAAAATAGACATTTGGCGCCTACCTCTCTGAACATCCACACCCGTCACCGTCGTACTTTGGCAACGGTGAGTGCTTTCTGTGGCGTGCTTCGACGCTGGCGTCACTACCTCTGCCGCCGTCGGCCGACACGACGAACCTGACGCGCAGCACGACGCTGTCGGCACACAACCCGTCGGCGCTGCGCGATGGCACCGCCACGCCCGGCTCCCTCGAGACGATCCGCTTCAAGGCTTTTCCTTACAGCGGCCTAAACGACTTTTACATGAATTGCGAGGCTGGCTACCTGAGCGTCGGCTCGGGCGGCGGCCACTACGGCCTGTGGCTGGACGATTCGCTCGACGTCGGCCACAGCTCCACGTGCGAGACGTTTGGCAATGAGCCGCTCAGCGATGTCGGGCACAAGTTTAGCGTCATAGGCGCTGAGCTCTGGGTTCTTGGTGCGTAGCGCAGGGGGCGCGGGTGTCTTTGCGATGGAGGTCGTACTGAAACGGGTATGTATTCGGTGTTGATGGCGTTTGACTTGAAGAAGGAACTACCATATACCTAGGCATGCTGAATTTGGAAGAAGAGGTCTGTGGCTTAAAAGGTCGTGAGATTTGGGTTAGTCGGGCACGAAAGAATTCTTCACTCTTGTCTCTTGTGGGCTTGGTTAGTATACCAAAGACAACAAGGATAGACAAAATAGTACATGCTATTGATGATTCACGTTGCTGCTATTCGTGCTTCGAAATCGGCTATGCCCTCCAACACGCCCTTCGGACTTGGTTCCGCGGCGCACACATCCGGATAGAAGCCAAATGTATTGACTAAAAAATCCCTCGTCGTTGGCCCAATCGTGGCGATGAGCGTCTTACCATCCCGCCGGCTTGGAACAGCCCAGCCCGCGTCGTCCAGCATCCCCAGCGCGCGCAGCATGCTGTCGCAGCCCGTCGGCGAGAAGACGACGACCCACCGCTCCGGGAGCCCCTCGGGCGCGTGTCGCACGTCCGCCGCAGTGACCTGTAGCTCCGCGCCAAAGTCAGCGGCAAAAGACTCCATGATGCCGGTGCCATACACAACCTCCTCCGTCACCTCGATGCGGCGGTCCGCTGGCAGCGCGGGATCCATCAGCGTCCGTGGGATGACGTCGCGTCGCTGCTCGCCGACCAGGAACAGCAGCGGCGGCTTCGTCGGCCAGTCGCGGTACCGCGCGCCATAATGCGCGAGCACATGCTGCGCCAGTGCCTCGCCGTTGCCCGTGTGCTCGCCCGAGACCTGCAGCGGCGCAGGGACGGCGCGGAGCGCGCGCGTGGTGGCCGGGCCGACGCTGTAGACGGGCACGTCGTCAAGATGCGGCCATGCGGGCGCCTGGCGAGGCTTCTCGGCGCACACGACGTGGGCAAAAGCTTCAACGGCGCGCTGCGACGTGAAGATGAGGCCACCGTAGGAGGCGCCGGGGCAGCTGCTGATTTGGCGCGCCAGGAGCAGGTCGCGGAGTGTGGCGAGGCCGGCGTCGTCGAAGCGGTGTCGCATCACGGGCACGAAGATTGGGGCGGCGCGGCGTCCGTGGGGTAGCTGTGCGGCGGTGAGATGGTCGTGGTATGAGTCGCCTGGGGTTGAACGAGTCTTGAGGAGAAGCACGGGCACTGGTGGCTCGTCTTTTGCTGGTTGGGCAGCCATTGCTATGGAGGGACCGGGTAGTTATACAGGGTGTGTGTCGGGATCACTGGAGGAAATACTCCAATTGGCACCTGGTCAGCGAGGTTTGGGAAAAGCAAGTCATAATTATTGCAGTATTGAAGTTGAGGTACGGGTGAAGCTGGTGGGTCAAGTCGCGAAGACTTTCTCTGAAGCAGGAGTTAAGTGTTTGCATTTAATGTTTATAGCAAAATCGAAAGTTTTGAGCTTATTGAATGACACCGGGCTCATCTGAATCATCTCATTCCCATTACGATATTCTTAGCTCCATCGTCGAACTGGAGTATGTAGTTATGGCTGCAGAGGCAGTGGGGCGCAAGTTAATCGCCGCTTTGCATTATAAATCTGCACCAAGTCGCGACAGCATTACTACTCAGAATTTACACAGCTACCATTGTGGCTAGCGAAATTAATTTCGTACTTAACCGCGTACTATCAGCAATCATCAGCGACAACGATGGCGGGGGAAGCGAGAGGGGATACCGCCGGAGCTGCGCCAGCGGGCGCGGCGCAAACAGGAGAGCAACCAAAGTACCCCAAGGGCATTGTTCTGGACAAAGATGGCAAGCCGTGAGTCTGCCCTCCAAATTCATGAGATTGAGTCATGAATCTCACCATAATTTTGCCTCTCAGGTGTCGATCATGTACCTCCGGCGCCGCGTTCTCGGCATGGGCTGCGCAAACCAAGGAAAGGATCAAGGGTGACAAGGAGACCGCCGTCGCCGTCGCCACCGCGACGACGACGGCGACCGAGGCCAACTCCCGAGCCGACTGCCCGCCCGACGTCGAGATGCTGGGCCATAGTTCGTGGACTCTGCTGCACAGCATCGCGGCGGCATACCCGGACACCCCGTCGCAGACCCAGCAGGCCGACGTGCTGCGCTTCGTGGACCTCTTTGCCAAGCTGTATCCGTGCTGGGTGTGCGCCGACGACTTTCAGTCGTACATTGCCCGGCGGGTGCCCAAGGTTGCGAGTCGCGACGAGTTTGGGCAGTGGCTTTGCGGCGCGCACAACGACGTCAACAGGAAGCTGGGCAAGAAGGAGTTTGACTGTTCCAAGTGGCTGGAGCGGTGGAAAACGGGGCCTAAGAACGGCCGATGCGATTGAGAAAAATTTACACGGGAGCGACAAGATCCAATGTTGGTCCGATGGTACGATATGTGTATACCATGTATTTTTAGAATGGGTTCAGGGGTAGATGGCGTTTATGGGTTGAGGGAGCGGGTTGGTTGATATGACGATGCTCTGAAAAGCAGCCCACGCACCGCACGATGATAGATAAGGGATTTCGCATGGAACCAGCGGTCAGCAAGTAGAAGAAGGCAGGCTTATCTCTTCACTCAGCGTTAACACAATGACAAATTCATGCACTGACAGAAGCTTATTAAGTAAGTATGCGTTGTTTAAAGTTGAATGTCATCTGCTGAAGAATCACCAGTTCGTTTCCGGCCCGACTTGTCGTCAGTGGGGGCAAGGAACTTGGTGTGGCGCCACCTCGCTGGATGGCGAGAATTGGCAACATTTGCATCACGATTTCCGGAGCTGCTCGGAGCTAAAGGAACACGGTAGTTCTTGGCTGCTAGGATCAGAGGTGGATGCTCTCTTCTCATCCAGATTCACTTCTTTCCTCAAGATATAAAGATCAGCTTTTTACCTCGTAGCCCGACCGACAACACAACACCCTGACTTCTCTCACTTGGAAGCGTCATACACTTGTCAAGCAACGCCCAATTCAGTTCGCTCCACTTATACTACGACTCTTGTTCTATCACGACTCACGGCTCATTCAAATACGGTGACTGCGGCAATTTCGTCTCGCAAAATGACGGACATTAGAGTGAACAACCTCAAGGCGCCGGTTGACGTAGCGGAATACTTGTTTCATCGATTATATGAAATTGGTGTTCGCTCTGTTCATGGCGTTCCCGGCGACTATAACTTGGTCGCACTCGACTACCTCCCCAAAGCAAACTTGAAATGGATCGGAAGCGTCAATGAACTAAACGCAGGTAAGCACTTTGTCGACAACTCTATATCGTCCATTGGCTGAAGCTTACATCGGATTCTGTAGCTTATGCTGCTGATGGCTACGCTCGGATCAACACGGTTGGCGCTCTCATCACAACCTTTGGAGTTGGTGAGCTCTCCGCCCTCAACGGCATCGCTGGAGCCTACTCCGAGCATATCCCCGTGGTGCACATTGTCGGGTGTCCCTCCACTCGTTCTCAGAAGCAAGGCATGCTTCTCCATCACACCCTGGGCAACGGTGACTTCAATGTCTTTGCAAACATGAGCTCCCACATCTCCTGCAACGTCGCGAAGCTCAACGACCCGCAAGACATTGCCGTCTTGATTGACCACGCTCTGCGTGAGTGTTTTGTCAAGTCGCGTCCGGTATACCTCATGCTGCCGAGCGACATGGTGACTGCCAAGATCGAGGGCGAGAGACTGGAGACGCCCATTGATCTGTCCGATCCCAGCAACGATCCAGAGCAGGAAAAGTACATTGTGGATGTCATCTTGCGATATCTTGAGTCTGCGAAATCCCCCGTTATTCTGGTCGATGCGTGTGCGATCCGCCATCGCGTCTTAAGTGAGGTCCACGACCTCATCGCCAAAACCAACCTGCCCGTCTTCGTCACACCGATGGGTAAGAGCGCGATCAACGAGGATCATTCGAATTTTGGTGGCGTTTATGCGGGCGAGGGCTCTCAACCATACAGTGTCAAGAAATTTGTCGAGTCCTCTGATTTGATTCTGTCCATCGGCACTCTGCAGGTACCGTGTTGATCCTTGCCACTACTACTGTGATGCTTTTGGCTGACATCTTACCAGAGTGACTTCAATACTGCAGGTTTCTCTTTTCGCACGTCCAAGCTCAATGTCATTGATCTGCATAGCGATCATTGCATTATTCACTACTCAACGTATCCTGGTGCTCGGATGAAGGGTGTTCTCCGCAGGCTCAACGACGCTATGGAACCCAGCAAGCTCTCCGTAACCCAGGCATTAGCCTTCAAAAATGAGGTTCAAGAAAATGACGATGGAACACCAACTATCACTCAGGCCTGGTTCTGGCCGCGCGTGGGCGAATTCTTCGCCAAGGACGACATTGTTGTTACAGAGACGGGTACTGCAAACTTTGGCATCTGGAGCTCCAAATTTCCTTCTGGAGTCACTGCTCTCAGCCAGGTTCTGTGGGGTAGTATTGGCTGGTCTGTCGGTGCTGCTCAGGGAGCTTGCATGGCGGCTAAGGATATGGGAAGCAAGCGACGAACCATTCTGTTTGTCGGAGACGGATCATTCCAACTCACTGCTCAGGAACTCAGTACAATGATTCGACACGGGCTCAAGCCTATCATGTAAGTGAGCGTGTTCTTCAAAGGTCTCAAGTTTCTAATAACACGTTCACAGCTTTCTTTTGAACAATGATGGCTACACAATTGAGAGGTACATTCATGGAATGGATGCCGAATACAATGACATCAACGGTTGGAACTATACCGCTCTTGTTGATGTCATGGGGGGTTCCAACACCGCTGCCAAACATGTCGTCAAGACCAAGTCTGAACTTGAAAAGCTCTTGACTGATTCAACCTTCAACTCGGCTGATGGCCTTCAATTCGTGGAAGTCATCATGCCCAGAGACGACGCGCCATCTGCACTGATCACAACGGCACAGGCCAGTGCAAGAACAAATGCAGAACAAAATTAACGAGCTAAAGGCAATTTCTTAGCCCATGATTAAACTAGATGTATAGACTTAACTCAAATATAGATTTCTTTTTTTCGTAATTATTGGTGATTCCACAAGAAGCGGGATTTGTACCTGGATCAATTACTTACACTGTCGGTTATGTTTCGCTTGGTATCCACACCCCTGGCCGCGCCAAAAAAAAAAACTTGACGATTCTAAACTCTCACATCGAATGCACCTGTGATAGCAGCCATCAGAAAAGGTCACTCCGGAGCAAAACTAAACTCATCTATACAAGGTTCAAAATGAGTGAAAATCAAAACAAGCGAAAACAGGGGTCTTCGAGCGCCGGCCCAGCTCACAAGAAGAGCAAGGTGAACAACCCCTGGCGCTAGCTCTACAGTTGGCTTCGCTGGCTAACAGTATTATGCTGATCCCAGGGAAGCACTGGAGGGAAGTGGAAAACGCCACAGCAAAAGGCCAAGATGGCCGGTCGGGTTGAGATGGGCAGCTCTCTCGATATTGGCGATGAGGGCATCTGGGTCACATATGCCAGAGGCATGAACACAAGAGCTTTTAAAGAGTTTTCGGAGCTTTGCGATGAGGTATGGTTAACTCAGTGAACTCTTCCGATTCATACGTGGGGAAAGACTCGCACTTAGAGCTAACACTTCAGTTATGCAGTATGGAGAGAGCATGTATGGTATCGCAAAGTCATCTGACGAGCACGAAAACGTCAACGAGGAAGACGAGGAGCTGGACATCGAAGCCTCGATTGAGAAGGAGCTCGCCGCCATGAGAGCGCCTCGCGAAAAATCTGCGAAAAAGGGTGTGTTCAGGCCTATCAGCGCAGGCATCGAGTGTGTCTTCTTCATGAAGACGCTCAAGCCGGTGGAGCCAGATGCGCTGGTCCGAAAAATGTGCGAAGACGCACGGAAGTGCCTGGATCCCAGGGAGCGCAAGTGCAGATACATCAACCGCCTTACACCAGTCTTCGACACGGACAAGGCGACGGACAAGGGCATTGAGAGGGTTGCCCGTCAGGTAATGGCATCTTACTTCGAACTCGTTCCCAGGGGCGAGAGCAGCGCGACCGAGGAGGCAGCAACGAAGGATGCACCAGCCCCAACGACTACGAATAGTGCTGGCGAGCCTTTTACAGTAAGAACTTGGGCACTCATTTGACTATTAGGGGGTTTTGCTTTGCTAATAGTGAATGCTCACGCAGTACGCTATTCGACATAATATTCGCAGCCATAACACCTTCAAGTCAGAAGAGGTGATTAAAAAGATTGCTGGTCTGGTTGACACCAAGCACAAGGTCAACCTATCAAACGCAGACAAGGTGATTCTGGTGGAGATTTTCCAAGTACGTATTTGCTACAATCACATTTGCCGCCCAGCCATTCCGTATCGAATGCGGGCCGTCGTAATTCCTTATTAAAGATTACGTATCGTACTAACGATTTGACGTTATACAGCTGTTTTGCAGTGTGTCCGTCGTCGACGGGCCGCAGTGGGAAGAGTTAAAGCGCTACAATCTGAACTCACTCTATGGAATGACTTCGAAGCAAAAGAGTGGCGCAATTCAAGGCGATGCCGGAAATCAATCGTGAGTAACTCCGTAAATTACTTCGGCAGCCGTATTAAAAACCCCCACTGTAGCGGCATGGCCCACCTTGGCAGTTGGCTATGAGTGGCATGAGAAATGGATTTGCATTGAAGTTAGACCAGGTACCGGCTGTCTACACGAGGCTGAAACGTATCTAATGTCGACTTGCTTGTGTATGTGTCGTGATTGAATGCTCAACCTGAGCTTGAAGCAGCATATTCAGTAGCGCAGAAATGGTCTCGGTAAAAATTTCAATGTAGACTTAGTAAATAATAAGTAGTCCGTTAAATGCCGTTAGTATCGAGCTAGGGGGCCGTTAATTATCCTACGCTGCTTAAGAATTATCTTATCAAAGTATATTATAACTATAACTAAGACTTATATTTTATATTAATTAATAACTTATATAAAAGTAAAATAATAATAATCAAAACTATATTATTATAACTTTTTTTAAGTTATATAACTTATATTATTAATCTTAAAATCTGATATTTATTTTATTCTATATATAGTTATAATATACTTTTATAGAATAATTCTTAAGAAGTATAGGATTGATGATAGCGCTCTTCTAGCTGTCTATCAGCTTAGACCCACAAAAAATAATGTCAAGAATGGTTTTGGAGCGTAATCACTAAAATTAGACTAGTCATGAGAACAATCGTGGCGTCTGTGGCATGAGAACGCTGCCAAGGAAGGCTGGTTGATGCTGATGCATCTCTGAATTAATCCCCTCCAAAAACTCAGCAAGCTTCATGGCCGAGGCTTTGACCTCTGGAAACAGCCGTGTGGGGCTAGTTAGCTTGAGTAGTCAAGTAGAGGTTAGCAGCCGATTTGCCCTCTTTGCGAAGCCAAGTGGGCAGCGGAATAGTGGCTTGAGCTCTCGCTTACCGGAGCCAATAGCAATGGCTGCAGCTCGCTTGTCAACTGTGTCGAAACCAGGGATACTCCAAGATTGACTCTTGATGTGCCTGAAATCGACACCAGCTAATGCACGTATCCTTTGTGGCTTTGTAACATGAACACCTCTCTTCAGGCTTGAAACACTTGACAGATCCTCTTCTTCTTGCTTCACGGCCGTTGTCAGTCTGGATTTTTCCGCCCTTGTGTGTTGTACCCTGGGGGCTTGTAGGACTTGAGAAGGCGGGCAAGCCGCCTCTGGCCTGGAAAAAGCATTCGGTGTGATACAGGGTGCTTATCTTCTGAGTGGCACCATGCGCTGTGAAGAATCACGAATTTCACACCGCTTGATTGGGACTTTTGAAGATAAATGGTGTGTAACTAAGCCATCTAAGCCTTCGCTTGCTCGTGGTCAGTAGACTATAGTACACTGGCTACTTGCATGCGTCGACTTTATCCGCATCTTGTCCAGAAACGACGGATGGGTTCTGCAATGTTCCAGCCACCCCCCCCCCCCCCCCCCCAACGTCCCCCCTGGCGGCCGTAGTCCTTCTTGCCTGTCGTCAAAGTGGCGAGTTGACAGGAAGCAACGCCTCTCTGCCACGAACGATGACCTGGTGAAGACGGGGGAAAGCAAATGGCTTCTGATCCGCACTACTGCCTTACATGGACAGCCACTCAACCACTATACTGAATTTTTCAAGACCGGTGCACCATTTCGGCGATAACCCGCCCCTGGCTCTCTTTGTCGAGCCGGCGAGTATTCCGCGAGACCACTAATCTCACTTTTCGCTCATGATTGGGCTTGACTGCTTCTGCATAGCCGGGCTACTCTTCAGCCAGCGGGCCATCTCTAAGTTAGTGCCTCATGATTCATCCATGGCCGTGCGACTGCAGTTGCCAGGTTTATTTCTGGTACTCGCTCCTTGGACTGAGTCCATTGTCATGACCATTTCAGCGACATCTGCAACTGGAAACAGCTATAATCCCTCCGTCGCCTTGTTCCTTGCCCCAGTTTAGCGCCTTGACCCGGCTATGCTTTAAGATGTGCGCCTTTGTTCAGGGCCTTTCGAAGTCCAGGTACACCCATGACCTGTGAAATACTAACCTTACTGTCACGTCGTTTCTAACAAGATCGCTCACCGCAAATCTACACCTTCTTCAACAAGGGAACACTGACTGTATGAATGACAACTTCGGCCTCGACGGCCACGACATTCAACTCGGCACCCACACTGGACACCGACAGCACCATATCAATAGTCTTGTGTTCGCCATCCATTACTTATTTAATTCTGCGGTTGGGTTATAGCACGCCACAATGCCTGTCAATTTTCAGACGCCGCCAATATTCCACAGTACCCACGCTGTGCATCCTAAGCTACTCCGTTCTGTTTACACTTCGACTTTTCCGAACTCAGACCCCTGCTGTCCTCTGCAGAGCGTAATGGAAGTGACAATTGAGGACTCGTTGGCAAAATTGATTACAACTGCGGTCCCAGAATCTCGGGTGCAGAGCCTACAGGCAACGGCATCTCCTGGACTACACCGAATATATCGTGCCTTGACACGAGACGGGGCTATCATACAATGCTCGCTGCCGCAGCCACCGAACCGGCGAATGCTGAGGTGCGAGTACGGCTCTATACGATCGGAAGCAACCATTTTGCAATGGCTTTCGGGGCTTTGCGAAGAACAGCTAGAATCAGGCTCGCCCAAACTCACAATGGTCGATACTGAGGACAAGAATGAAGTCAGGAACCGCATACGCGCGCAGGCCATCTTGGAGTATCTGCCAGGGCTTCTAGATCACGGAATGGCGGGGACAATGCACCAACTACAGTACAATGTCCTCGTACCCCGCCCTGGCAGAGTACTGTCTACCATCGGATCTTCGTTGACGGCTGCAGCCCGGAAATCTGCTGATTTCCAGATTGGGCAGATGCTTCGGAGAATATCCTTGCTTCACTCTCCCACTTCCTGTTTCGGAAATGCTGAGGCTGTTCTACCTCCAGTGCCTCAGAGATCAACTCCAGAGCAACGTCGAGCCTCGGTCCTGGGGTCGCGCGAAACTTTTACCAGTTGGTCCGATGCATTCGGGGAGATGCTCCACAGTGCCATACAGGACGCTCAAGCAAGTCAAATAACAGCATCTTACGACAGCATACGACGATGTCTTCACCGCTTCGCGCACGCCCTCGATGCCGTTATCGAGCCACGACTAGTCTTGATGGATGCCGGCTTGGATCAAAATGTCCTTGTTGTCATGCAAGAAGCGGACAGCGATAATTTCGATACGTCAGACAATGAGTCTGGAGCGTCTGAGAAATCGAAGGAGTCTGATGGCAGCGACTCTTCAGGCAGTGCAGCTACCCAATTAAAAGTAACTGGCCTCCGAGAATGGATCAAGCCGGTCTTCGGCGATCCGCTGCTGAACATCAGACTAAGTCAAACAAACTCGGAGCATGTGGTACATGGCTTTTCCACCCCCTTGGCAGACACGCTAGACGACATGAAGGAAGTGTCCGAAAGTCTTTCTCAAAACCGCCAATACGTTCAAATGCGCCTGAATCTCTACCGCGTGTACCACGCCCTGAACGCTATCAGCGTCGAATACATAAGACGCGACGACGACAGCGATCCTAGGGAGCTGCGGGCGCGCAAGGCACTTGTTGAAGCTGTCCGAGAGCTTGAGGCATTGGACGAGGCCGAAGCATCTAAAAGGCGCTGTCGGCTCATAGAAGTGGTTCCATCCAAAAGACAGAGAACTTTGAGCCCGTAAAGGTTGAAATTGCTAGGTATACTGGCCATATATCCGAGGTAGAAAGATATATAGATTGGATCTCATGCAAAAGTATCAAAAGAAGAGATTGATGCCAATACACGGGGTGTCTATTTGTATTTCTCGCCATTGTCCTCATCTCTTGGTAGTCGAAAGCCCATGAGCCCCAAGAGGTTTCCTGTTGGACCAGCCATTCCACCTTGGCTCTTGAAGCTCTCCAAGAGATTTTTGACCAAATTGTAGTCAATGTCAACATGGCTGTGGGAGTCTTCATCTGTGCCCTCCCGGTCTGCTTCGGCCGCTTCTGACTCCTCTCCTTCAGCTTTGTCCCAAGACTTTTCTTCGTTGACGAGTTTGCTATGCTGAGACTGGAGGCGATCCAGCCGCAAGGCGCCATGGCCTTTGAGCTCAGCTTCCATTTGCATAGAAACGTCTCTGATGTCCTCGTCTTTCGCGGGAGCGTCTTGCGCACTCGTGCTCTGGGATGTTTCGTGGCCTATGTATTGGCCAGTGGAAGCCATGGTCGGATTGTCCACTGGCAGTCCCATCATTTCCTTCATCATCTGAGCAAAGGTTTCCTCATCAAAACTAACTTCCTTATCCTCCATGTCGCTATTTTCGTCAGATTCGTCCGTGTTTTCATCCTCCTCATTATCCATATCCATTTCATTGATCTCCGCGCCATCCATGCCGGCCGTCTCATTGTTCAAGAACGCCTCAAAACGCGACACGATCTTCTTTAGATCTTCTTGTGTTCGAGAATCTCCAAATCCTGAGGAATGCCCGCTCTTGCTTCTCGGTCGTGTTCTCTTCCCTTCTAACTCGCGCTCGAAATCTTCATAGTTTATATCGAGCCAGCTTTCGTCGTCGTTGCGTTTGACATCCAGCCATGTTTCCATTTCCTGGTTCGTTGGAAGTTCTTCGTCGCCATCTTCAATGAAATCCTGGAGCATGATAGCAAGTTCGCGAACAGTGGGGTTTTTGTTCTTCTCTGCTGTCATGGCCAGCATCTCATACCCACAGGTCAATTTCATGCCGTCTTCGAGACCAAGAACATTTTTGCCCGGCCCATCTTTTCTCTCTTCAACTCCAGAGTGACTTTGTACACTATTGAGCCATAGCTGAGGTGCTTCGAAACGTTGCGAGCGCAGCTGCGCGAACAAGACTCTACTGAACTTGACACTAACAGTGACAAGGTCAGTCGGTGGTAGATGAAGCTGCTCTATATCAGAAGTAATCTTCTTCATCCCTGTATGATCTCTGAGATAAAACGCTTCAACAGCGGCTGATACTGTCTTTGGTAGCTCATGCACAATGTATGCCAGCTTTCGTGGAATTGTCAATGTAGAATAGTGTATCGAAGCGTCCACATGTTTTGGATACTTCTCAAGTCGGTAAAATGCCTCATCTTCAATAGAAGGCGAGTAAATCAGGGTATCAGTCTCGTTTCGCAGGCATCTCACTGCATCAGCTAGCGTAAGTGACCTTGCAGTGCTCGGCATTGTCTTGTCGCTCAGCAAAGGAATGACTACAAGCTTTCCACCGTGTATCCAAACCCGGCAGTGATCAATTTCGGGATTCAGCCAGTTCGGTAGTGCATTGGCTGCTTCCACTAAGAGAAATTCGCCATCCTCGTCAGCTACTCGGATGAACAGTTCAGGGTGAGCTTTGGACAGCTCGCGCAAAACGTAGACAATCAGCCACTCATCTTCCACTGCGTCTCCATAATCCGTGATGCCATGAAGATAGATCAAGCCTAATTGGTTTCATCAGAAATTTACCCTTGTCGTCTCTTCAACTCTTGTCTCACCTTGCTCATTGACAACTGAGAGGTTAAATTCGTCTCGCTGCCAGATATAATTCTTGTCGACGCTTCTCATCAAGCCATCAGCTTCTTTGCTAATGCTCTCAAGACGCTTCAAGTACTTGATACCTTCCAATTTGTCGTCTAGAATGAATATCATATACTCCATATAATTCTCCGCAAGCTGGCGTTCAAACGGCTGAGTATTAGCCTCTGGGACGCCATGGTCGGCGGCTTCGCTGCCCATGGAGACTGTATCCAGATTGAAACCGCTTCTTCTCGATGGATAGTATGGATAGTATGAATCAATTTATTGACGCGCGCATAATTTCGATTGGACAGCGTCTTTCTTCGGCTTTGGTGTAGAGGGGACCGTAATGCATTTTTCCAAGAGTAGTGCTACGTGGACGAGCCTCACGTGACAGCACATGTACATCCCTTTTAGTACATCTTCTATATAAAAAGAGGCATCTTTTTAAGGATATAATATACCTCACTATTCTATATATCCCTACTACCGGCCGCCACCGCCGCCGCTACTAAAATATATAATTAATTAATCGCAGCGATAATAGTAGCGATGACGATAGCGATAGCAGCGATAATAGCGGCAGCGATAGCGGCGGTAATAAATTAATTTTATCTAGCCTAATTATTATATTAATAGTAGTAGAACTAGGGTATTATAATATACTAGCGGATTATAGCGGCGTTATATTAAAGCTAACAGTAGAGATATACTATATAATATTAAAGTAAAAGTAAATATAAAGGTATTTTATTACAAGATCTTTATTAAAATTAATAATTTATCCCCCTTCTCTACTAACCTTCTACATTACCTATCTTTCCCTTTTATCCTAAACCTCTAATCCTTACTCTTTATTAAGACAGGGAGTAACAACAGCTTCTACCACGAAGTAGATTAGGTTTTCCTCTAGGTCCTCTAGTTTTTCCTATTCTTTTAAAAAATAGAAGAACTAGATAAGCTATAAGCTTAATTAGAGTAATTTAATTAATATTAATATCATTACTAAACCTTTTATAGTTTATTAATATTTATTTAATTACTAAGAAAATATCTTTATAATTATTTTTACGATATATAATAAAAGGTTTCTTTTTTAATTATAAAAGCTATCAATAAGCTTATTAATTACTAACAGTAATAGTAGTAGAGAGGAGGAAAAAGTGATTTATAAAGATATATAGATTATAGTAGGTATGCACGCGAAAAGGTAGGTACCACACATCACGTGTACCTGTGTCCCTAGTAATATGTTACTGTGTCCCTAGCAATACTCTAAACTATTGCGACCACGCACCTCGACTAAACATACACGCCGCGACAACTCCGACGCCGAATTGAGCAACAGCCACGTTGCCATGTCCGTCATAGCAATCTGTGCCACCGCGCGTCGACTCGCATTTAGTTGTCGCGCAGGTACTGCGTTCCGCAAAACACATCGAAGCCGGCCGCGAAGCTACCACTCCTACGACCACCCGCCGGCTGCAAGCGCTTTTGGAGACGCTGAGGAGGCTATCATGTCCGCAGCCTACAAGCACGTTCCCGAGCACGGCTTCTCCGCCCGCGCCCTGGGCCTCGGAGCCCGCGACGCCGGCTACCTTGACATTAGCCCCAGTGTGCTCCCCGACGGCGCGTTCAATTTGATACGTTATCACCTCGTCTCGCAGCGACAGAGCTTAGCTAGGACCGCTAAGAAGCTATTTATTGATGAGGAGTCGCTCGGACCCGGAGACAAGGTTGCCGCTCTCACGTGGGCGCGATTGCGAGGAAATCAGGACATCATCCAGCATTGGCAAGAGGTACGCTGCATCTGCTCATTGTGCATCTGAGCAAGCCGAAAATGAAGAAAGAATGCAAAATCTGACAAATTCACCAGGCACTGGCAATTATGGCACAACCGAGACACGTCTCCGAATCCATGAGAGAGCTCGCGCAGCTGTCTGACGAGATCTGGTTCCTGTCCGGCGACAAAACCGTTGATCCATCGTGGTACTCGAAGCGCGCGACGCTGTCCATGATTTACACATCAACCGAGCTGTTTATGACAAACGATAAGTCGCGCAAGTTTATCGAAACAAACAATTTCCTCGCTCGCAGGCTCGAGGAGGTTCATTTAGTTGACGGCGCCGTTGGCGCTGTTGGGCAGTGGGCAGGATTCACATTCCAAACGGCCATCAACGTACTGCGAAGCAAGGGTGTAGGCATCTGACACAGTCACGAACTCACCCCGAGTCAACACCCTGTAAAATAGCCAGTCTCATATACTGTACATCTGTTATCATACATAGCAATCCTTCAGCACCTCGTGGTATCTATGTAATCCAAAACTCCGGAGTGCGCGATAGATATGTACAAGTGTCGAGAAAATCAAGTCAGGAGAAGGCTTCCTAGGAGTGGCTTCAAATAAACCAGCTGGTGTAGAAGAATCTGCTGGCTTGAAAAAACCGGCTGGCTTAAATTAGAGTACGTTGTCGGGGATCCGTCAATCTGCAAAAATTTTTATTAGTCAGTATACATTTCAAGAGGCGCTCGAGAACGCACCTGATGATCTTGACGTCCTTATCGAGCCTGGCACGCCCCTCAATGGCATTAGGCGTAATGAGAATATACTGTCGCGACACGGAGCGACGAGCAGTATCGACCTTGATGTTGCTATCAGTTACCAACTTACAGCACACCTGCGTGTGTCGTTGAACTTACCAGCATGTTGGTGCTGATTGCTCGGTTGACATTGTCCATGAAGACGTCAAACTCGTCCAAGCAGCGAATCGGCGATCCTATCGCCTCCCACACGGAGAGCAGCATGCAGATGGATGAGAATGATTTTTCTCCGCCCGACAATGTTTTTGTGTCTCGCCCGCCCGAGTTCTTCCTCGTCTCGTCTGGCTCAATCTGGATGACAACCTTGCGCTCCTTGTGTCGGAGATCAATCTTACCGCGGAATCCTCGCTCGCTGAGGAGATAATTAAACTGAATGCGAATACGCGCGCTAATCTGCCTCTGAAACTGGCGCCACAAGGAAAGCCTCTGGGTAAGGGCACCCTTCAACGAATCAATCATACGATCCAGATTCTCCGTCTCCTGTACGACAGTCTCGTAGCGTCTCTTGGCCTCGTTTGCTCGGTCATAGATTTGTTGATCGGTTGCTCCAAGACGTTGCTCGCGCAAAGCTAGCTGGTCGCCAATCTTTTGATACTTCCTCTCAATGCTTTGGTAAGTATCACCCTCGGGAATATGTACTCTATCAGGGGCAACTGCGAGAGCTTGGCGTGTAAAATCAGCGACCTCCCCTGCCTTGTCATCTCGTCGTTCCTCGGCGCGGCGGCGCTCTGCTTTCTCAATGTCGGCTTGCTCGTAAGCGGCATTCTTCTGCGCGACGGCGATTCGTCTCATGGACTCTGTGCTCCGAATCTTCAGATCGGCCTTCTCAACACGCTCCGAGAATGTTTCTGCCTCACGGCGGATCTCTTCCAGGTCTTTCTTGGCGGCTTCTGATTTCTTGTTCAGGTCAACTTTGGCCAGTTTCATACTGCCGTACTGACCACCTAATTCCTGTTCTTCCTTGTGCTTTTGCTCCAAGTCAGCACGAAGAGTGACAAGGCGGTCATCTGCACCTTCAAATGCATCCATCTCCATTGATATCTGCTCCATGTCAGCCCGGACTCGGCGCAAATCGTTCTCGAGCTTTTTTTGATGCCGGCGATGCGATTCTAGCTCCGCTTTAGATCTCTGAAGCGCTTGCTGGACAATACATTCTTCTGAGTTTAGCTCTTGAAGTTCAATTTCCAATTGCTTTAGGTTTTCTTGCTGAACTGCTAATTGTCGCCCGGTGTCTGACTGCATCCTGGGTCGCAATTTGGATGGAACAATTGGTGCGGTTCCAATATTTCCATTGCGGTTCGTCAGTCTGATGCCTTGCCCTCGCTTGTCTTTGCCGTCATGAAAACACAAGCACGCCGCAACGTTGCGAGGTGGCCGACCTTGGTCTACCATGACTTTTTCAGCTTCTGCTCTGCTTTGGACTAGAATGATTTTCTCAATTTGGCTGTTGATAATCAGTTGAGTGCGGAATGTGTCCCTGTCAAACTCCAGCACTCGGAGTATCGTGTTGAACTCAGGAGCAGGTTCTTGGGCACTGGTATCGATATGTCCCCCAAATGCGATGAATATAGGTGGTTGACGTTTCATCCTGCTCCTTTGCATGATATCAGACAACTTGGATTGATCCTCCTTGCTACGCACAACGAAGGCATTCAGCGATTCACCAAATGTCTTCTCTAATATACCAGACCATTCTGGTTTGAGGAGCTTGACGTGTGCGCCAATCGGCCCGACAGGCTTGGTTTCAAATCCTTGATATTTGTCGATGAGTTTGACAAGATTGGCTATTTCCCCATCGAAGCCATCGTAAGCGGACCGAGTGCGTTTCTTCAGGTCAGACACAACCCCCTCTGCAACAGCAATGTCGCTCCGTTTACTTTCTCTCAGTCGCTGCTGACATTTCAGAGCCTCTTCGTTGTCCTGCACTTTCCCTTGTTTTTCACGAAGCTGTTCGCCCGCATTCGTTATGTTCCGAGTGATTTCTCGCTCCTTAGCCTTGGCTTCTTCGAGCTGTGCTTCTTTCTCGGCCTTCGCAGCACCAGTGGACTCGCCCAGGCGTTTTTGCTCCTCCTCTATTTTCTTCTCTAGTGTGTTCATCTCCGCGCGAATAGCTTTCAACCGACTATAAGCATCGCGCTCATCTAGATGCAGCTCGGTGAGGTCTTTTTTCGCCGCGCTGAAAATGGCTTCTAAGGAAATGACTTTGTCGTTGATAGCGTCGCGTTCTGTATTCAAGTCGTCTCTCATCAACTGGAATTGTTGTAGCTTCTGTTCGGCCTCTTGAAGGACTATGCCGAGCCTTGCGCACTCATTCTCAGCATCGGCAATGCGGGCGTTTCTGGTCACAATATTGGCATCAAGTTGTTCGAGAGCAATCTCCTGCTCTACAACCTGCGACCAGATAAGTTGGCACCTGTAAAGCCTTGCTTTTTCACGGAGACTCTGATTCTTTTGCGCGGACTCTGCCAGACGAAGAGCATGATCCATCTCCTTCTTTACAAGCGCGACCTTTTCGTTGATGTCGTCACGTAAATTCAGGGTTTTATCCAACGTGTCCTGGGACATTCGGTAATCATTGTCGAGCTGCTCAAGCTGCACTCCAGAGATGAAGTATTTGTATTTCTGTGCTGGAGTCGCCGCGTTTAGGAACTGCCGGGCATTGTCCTGAGATAGTATGGTGAGAGGATTGCCCATTTGAAGTGCGAACCACTCGGAAATTTCGTCGACTTCTTGTTTCTTCGTCGAGATGACTTTGTCGTCGGCCGTTTTGATTTTGAAACCGCTGCTGCCAGTCTTGGAAAAATGCCTTTCGACAATGATACTTGGGCCGTATATGTACGGTTGATAAGCGTCCGATCCGGCATTTTTTATGCGCACCACGAGCTTGCCTTGGTCTCGGCCCTCTTTGACAAAGGACTTAAGGCTGCCACCGCGATTAGTGTCACTGGCTTTCCCTCCAAGGCATAGAGTCAGAGCAGTCAAAACAGCACTCTTCCCGCTACCGTTCTCTCCGACTATGAAGTTGATCAGAGGCCCAAGCTCGACGTGAAGCCGCTCATGACACATGAAATTGTAACATGTAATGCTTTCAATAATGCCGCTGTCAGCGGCCATATTGTCGCCCAAGGCGCGCGGTCGTCGTAAAAGCTGCTGCGTTGCTCGATCATCGTCAAGTTCGAGGTGCTCCAGATGCTTGAATCCGGCATCTCGCATAATCTCGTATTGGGTCTGCGGCGGTGCGTCCCCACAGTCGGATTCGTTATCGGATTCATCTTCAGACCCAGTCGCCACGGTGCGATCGGGCGTTGCTTCCATATGGCCCTCTGTCGTGAGTGAAAGGCGCGCTCTCTTAGTCTGTAAAAAACTGCATCAGACACGGTCGGTGGTGTACAAATATTGAAGTTGCCCATACCGACTGGCTGTCTTGAGCCATAGACGAGCTGGCTTGCTGAACATCGACAACTTCGCTTTCCTCTGCGAGACTTGTCATAGAACGAGCTCGTTTGAAGGAAGGCATGGCTGCCAGAGAGACGGGAGCAGCTACGCGATTGAGGCTGAAGCGGGCGGATGAAGATGCGAGGTTCTAAGGGTAACCAACCGTGAATGAAGAGCGCGTTTCTGACGCCAAAGCGTGTTGAGCACCTTAATGGGAGGTACTGCTGTGGAGACGGACACGTTCTCGCTCTAGACTCAATTATTAGGCAACTACGGATTACCTAGGTACACGCAGGGTTAGAAATTAATTAGTAAATACTAATTTAATACTAAATTAGTAAGTAAAAGTCTATACTTATATTAATTAATTTAATATTAGTATTTAATCTCTAAATTCTTACTAATACTATATTAATTAGTAAAAGTCTATACTAATACTAAACTAATTTTATTAGTATTAAAATACTAAATTAGTATTTTAGTAACTAATTTAGTATTTTAATAACTAATTTAGTATTTTTAAAAATAGTTAAACCTTTTTTAATAATAATAATAATTTTTTATAATATTAGTAGATCTATACTTCATTTAAATATTAAAAGATAATAATTCTAAAAATCTATTTAAAAATAATTATTTAATACTTAGAAAAAATAACTATATAATGATTTTTAAGAAAGAAATATATAAATTATTATATTAGTTTTCTTATATATAATTTAACTTAAAGAATAAATCTAGATTTTTTTAGAAATTGATTTAAAGATTTTTTATTCTTTAAAAAACTCTTATCTTAGAAAAATACTCTAAAAAAAATATTTTTAATTAATTTTAAAAAGTAAATATAGGTTTTATAAGTTATATATAGTATATAATCTATATATTATTATTATATATAATTTTAATTATTTAAATAATTATTACTTAAAGTATTTCTTTTTAAAAAACTAAATTAGTACTTTTAAGTATTTACGAAATTACTATTTAATATAAAAAGCCTATACTAATATTAATTAATTTAATAATTAATAAGTAAATACTAAAAATACTAAAAATACTAATTTAGTAACTAAAATAGTATATACTAATTTTTAACCCTAGGTATATATACTATATACTTACCTCTTTAGGTTAGCTATTAGATATACTCTCAGCTACTATATACCCTCAGCTACTATATACCCTCAGGTACTATATACCTACAACTACTATATATCTTTATAAGTTATTCTTTCTTTCTTTTTATTACTATTATTATTAGTAATTAATAAACTTATTAATAATTTTAAAATTATAAAAAAACCTTTTATTATTTATTTTTAAAATACTTTAAAAAAGTATTTTCTTTATAATATAATAAATATTTATTAATAATAGAGTTAAT